AATTGTGATATTTATGTAGGAAAATTGAGTAGTAGAGATTTTGGGGAAAACCTCTCGCCTCTCTCTAACTTTATCTCTCTAAGACAATGACTGAAGTTAACCTAGATGGGAAACATTTGAGTGACTCAATGCCTACTATTCCCTATGAAAAGAACAGAACACCACAACTCCACCAAATAATCACCACCAACGCTGATAACTCCAATCAAGAAACCACTAATTCCTAGACCGGAAAGGGTCCCAATGATTCTGGCACTCCAAATTTTACCTAGCTCATCACCACCACTACAATCACATTACCTAACCAACCAAAGATCTCAGTAAACTTTGATAAATATGACCGAAGGAACAAAAATAAAGTGGATGTTAGTATGCAGGACCAAGGGAAGGTAGAGAAGATCACAGACCCATCCCAAGAGCTAGCTACAAAAGTGCTAGTGACTGGGGATAAAGAGACATCATTTGCTGCTAATAAATGGAACCAAGGTACTTCTAAACCATCTTTTGCTGCAGCGGTTCAATCGGAGCTTCCAACACTCAGTGAAGGGGCAAAGAATGTGGATATCACGCACGGCACTCACCTGGGAAAACCAACAGTGTTATTTAAGGCAGAGGACTACTTTGTTAATTTGGCACAAGAGTGTAGATTCACCTTAATTGGTAAATTCTACAAGACAAAGCCACCAATGGAAGATATAAGAAAGGCCTTCATCAGTCAATTCCATTTGAAAGGAAAGGTTAAAATAGCCTTTTATGATTTCCAGCATGTGTATATTGATTTTACTAATAAAGTTGATTATACTCATATTAAACTCAAGAAATTTGTGGATATTAGTGGGACTCCGATGAAGATTTTATTGTGGTCTCCTGATTTTAAGCCAGAAGCTGAAACACCTATTGTCCCAGTGTGGATTCTCATCCATCAGCTCCCATGGCATTTGTTTAGGTGGGACGTCATATCAAGAATGGTACAATCTATAGAGGTTGCTATTGCACATGATCAGGATACTTACTCGAAGTCCAGAGGTAATGTAGCTAAAATAAAGGTGGAAATTAATCTATTAAAACTAAAGTTGGATCAGTTGTGGCTTGGTTTTAAAAGGCTAGAAGGGGAAGATGATGGGGTATGACTTGATATTGAATATGAAGGAGTTCCTTCCTACTGCATTTACTATAAAATGCAAGGTCATATGGAAAGTCAATGCTGGAACAAAGTGAGGGATGATAGAATAAAAAGGGAGAGGGAAGAAAGAAGCAACATGGAAAATATGAATACTCAGTAGGAGGTCACAACAACTATTGCTTTAGACCAGAATAGGGAGGAGGAGGTCCAAACAGTAACTAGGAGAAAGAACACAAAAATTAAGAATACTAAAATGGACCAACACATGGGAACAGAACAAAGAAATTCTGAGCAGAGGAAAGGGAGTGATAAGGAGAACAGAAGGAATGGAACCATTGTAATTAGAGAACCAGTCATAGTTCCACAAAGGGAAAGAGTCCAAGAAGTGCCAGGGAAAGGGAAGAGAATTGATACAGAGGATCCAAAAAAAATCTCCACATGCCCAAAAGTCCAACATGGTGCAAGCAGGGGTGAGACTAGCAAGAAGAAAAATAAGAAGAGTTCAAATCAAACAAAGGTGGCGGCAGGGGGAGAAGTTATGGTACAAGTACAGCAAGCAGAGAAACAAAGTGGAGTCCATACCAAGGGTCTTGCAAGACCAATAGCCCAGAGTAATGCAATTGAGAAAGGGGAGCATAGTAGACAAAGGCAAGAGGATGAAATCCTTTAGGCAAGCATAGAGACCACACAACAACAACCAGAACATAATGAAGAAAATAAAGAAATTACCCATAACAATGATCCAGGAGAAGCATAGAAGAATTTCAATAAATTGATTCTAGGATCTAACCTGGAGAAGAATCATGATCCTGACTCAGGTGATGATGGCATAATTCAATCAACTGAAGAAGAAGAACAAGATGATAGCTCTGATGATGAAGATGATGGGGGCTCAATGAAGAGTGATGAAAGTGTGGACAATGAAGAAGAGGTTAGCAATGACATTGCCTCAAATCTGGTGGAAGTCTTTGTATGTGAAGCTACTATGCATCAAGCCATGACTAGTGCTATCAACTTAGGTCACCTATCACCTAGAGGCAAGTATGGACCAAGAGGAGGCAGAGGAACAACAAGAGGAAGGGGTGGCAGACAATATTCTCAAAGTCCTTCGAAGGCCTCAAAGAAACAAACCCCCTCAAACCAGTAATGATGTTTAAGTCCTTATTCTGGAATATTAGGAGCATTAAGTCCAATGGTGCTCTTGAAAAACTTAAACAATTGGTTAGAGCAAGCAAGTTCCCATTCATTGCCTTAGCTGAGCCATTCTATAAGGTTGACAAACTAGAGAAGTACAAAAGAGTTTTGGGATTTAGTCATGCCTTTGCAAATTGCAATGGTCAAATATAGATATTCTGGGAGGAAAACCTAGATTGTTCAGTGGTTGAAGAGGATGATCAACAGGTAACATGTATCATTAATCAAGATGGTGTATCCCTTCTTATATCTTCTGTGTATGCTAAATGTAATGATGAGTTGAGAGAATGCATGTGGGACAAACTAAGGGTCATTAATGCTAAGTATAATCTTCCTTGGTTTATAGTAGGTGATTTTAACTATATCATTGACCCCTCTGAGAAGAAGGGTGGGAATCCTCATAAAATCTCCAAACGTTTCTCTTTTATTCAATGCATTATGGATTGTGAACTGGTAGACGCAGGCTATAGTGGTTCAACATTCACCTTGTGCAATGGATGGTGCCCTAAGAGGAGAATTTGGCAAAGGTTGGATAGAGTTCTAGTCAATCATAATTGGTTGAATCTTTTTGACAGCACTACAGTTAGTCACCTAGTGAGAACGGGATCCGATCATTCACTATTGCTATCTCAAGTGAAGCATAAGATGTCTAACCCTGTCAAATTGTTTAAATTTCTGAACTTCTGGACAGAAGAAGAAGGTTTTATGGATGTAGTAGAGCAAGCCTAGAATGAGGAAGTGCAGGGATCCCCTCTTGGAAATTTCACCTGAAACTTAAAAATACGTGGAGGAGGTTGTCTGTGTGGTCAAAAAAACACCTTGGTAATATATTTGATAATACTAAGGCTCTAGAAGAGAAAGTTGTTGATCTGGAGGAAATGTCAATTGCTTATAATTCTGATACTAACAGGGCAGAATTGAATAAAGCTAATGTTGAGTTGATTATTGCCTTAAAGAAGAAGGAGGACTACTGGAATAAAAAATCAGGGATTAGATGGCTTATCGAGTGTGAAGTTAACTCTAAATTCTTTCACTTTGTGGTCAATGGAAAGAGAAGAAGATTATCTCAAAAGAAAATAAAGAAGGAAGATGGTTCCTAGATTGAAGGTGATAATGAAATTGCAAATGAAGCCATCCAATTCTTCCAAAAGCAATTAACTAAAGAGGATCATCAGAATGATTTCTGTTTACTGAATTTGATTCCAAATATTATTGATGAAGAAGATAATGACAAACTGATTGCACTTCCAACGATGGAGGAGCTAAAAGATGTAGTGTTTTCCATGAGTGTCCATAGTGCCCCTAGACCTGATGGAATCTCTGGAAAATTCTTTCATGTTTGTTGGAAAATCATCAAGAAGGATTTATTGCTAATGGTGTTTGATATTTTTGCAGGTTCAGAACTACCAAAGGCATTCACACATACTTGCCTAACTCTAATACCTAAGGTGGAATGCCCTCAGCAATTCAATGAACTAAGACCTATCAGTCTTGGAAACTTCTCTTGTAAGATCATTTCAAAGTTGATAAATTAGAGATAATGCCATGTCATGCAAAAGTTGATTACACCCTATCAGACTGGGTTCATCAAAGGGAGAAACATTACAGAGAATTTTCTCTTGACTCAATAGATGGTGCATAACATCAATAAACCTGCAAAAAAATGGAAATGTGGTAATGAAACTAGACATGGCCAAGGCCTATGACAGGGTTTCATGGAGTTTTTATGTCAAGTCCTAAGGCATATAGGATTTGCAGAAATATGGATTGATAGAATATAGAGATTAATTTCAAATGTCTGGTACTCTATCAACATCAATGGATCAAGACATGAATTTTCCAAATCTAGCAGGGGTATTAGGCTGGGAGATCATATCTCCCCCTCACTCTTTGTGATTGGAGCTGAGATTTTTTCCAGATTAATGGATTCCTTGTTGGTGGAAGGGTTCATCCCATTCTCATGTGAAAAGAAGGGGCCTACTCTGACTCATTTATGCTATGCACATGACACCATTCTCTTTTCTTCTGGAGATCCTTTGTCTCTAAAGATGATGTCAAAACTAGAAGCTTATGAACGGATTTCTGGCCAGATGGTGAACAAATAAAATCTGGATTTTATGTCTCTTCTAAGATCAATTGCAACAGAATTCGTGAGATTAGAGCTTCTATTGGTTTTCCTCACTTTCAATTTTCTATGCAATACTTAGGTTGCCCTATTTTTTCTGGGAGAAAGAAGGTTGCTTATTTCAACAACATGGTGGCCAAGTTCTCTAACAAACTTCAGGGATGGCAAGGAAGGTTACTATCTTTTGGTGGTAAAGCTGTTTTGGTAAAATCCATCCCGGCAGCACTTCCTATTCACTTATTTGTTGCTATAAATCCTCCTAAAACTGCCTTAAATCAAGCAGAAAAAATCATGGCCAGTTTCTTTTGGGGGAAGATAGATGATAAGGAGAAACATCATTGGGTAGCTTGAAAATCTTTATGCTACCCAGTGAAGGAGGGAGGAGTGGGGTTCAGGTCACTTCATGACACATGCAAGGCTTTTGCCGCCAAGATGTGGTGGAATTTCAGGACAAAAAAATCACCCTTGACAGTGTTTTTGGAATTAAAATATTGTAAGATAAAACATCATGTTGCCAGAAAAGCATTCTATGACCATTCTCATGCGTGTAGAAGATTAATGGACATCAAGATCGAGGCTGAAAAATATTTGTTATGGAAGGTTGGAAAGGGAAACATATCATTTTGGTGGGATAATTGGACTGGAAAAGGTCCTCTAGCTAAATTAAATCCTTCTACTATGGTTAATAGAAGGACTAAAGTTTCTGATTTCATTGAAGCAGGGACATGGAATATAGCCAAACCTTCTCCGACTCTGTTGCTACAGTTGGTCAACTCGATTGCAAATATTCAGATTCAGGATGGGAAAGAAGACTCTTTTATTTGGACCTTAAATCCTAGTGGAGATTTTACTTGTAGATCAGCTTGGGAAAAGATGAGGAAGCAGGGAGGAAGATCTTTAACTTCTAACATGATATGGCAAAAGAAAATACCTTTCAAAGTATCCTTCCTCATGAAGAGGGTTCTCGAAGGCAGACTACCTACTGATGATAGGATACAGAGAATTGGAATCATCATCACATCTAAGTATGTATGCTATAATACAAACGATGAAGAATCCATTCAACACCTCTTTTGTAATAGCCATCTTGCTAGACAAGTTTGGAGCTTCTTTGCCAATTCTTGTGGAGTTAGACCCAACCGGGAAGACTTAGACAACTTGTGATGGTCTGGTGGTTAACTAAGACAAAGAACATATTACAGGATATTGTGATTCAATCCATTCCTTCCATTATATGCTGGAAGATTTGGAGGAGCAGATGCAATGCAAAATATGAAGGAACACGTATGTCTGCCAGAAACATCATCAACCAAGTCCATAGACACATTTTGATATTGGTCAATTGTAAGTTTCCTAAGGTCAACATTCCTCAATCGTGGTAGGGTCTATGTGTGGCTTTGGATAAGGCAAAGCATGTTCTGTCTAGTCATATGGTCAGATGGAACAAACCAAGATCAAATTGTATTAAGCTTAATATAGATGGATGTAATAAGGGTAATCCAGGAAGTTTAGGTGGGGTGGGGTGATTAGAAACGATGCTGGTGATATGGTAGGTGCCTTCTCTGAGTTCTATGGTAATTGTAGCAATAACATGGCTGAAGCAAAGGCAATGTTGAAGGGCATTATTCTGCGCAAGGACAAGTTCAGCGGACACATCACTGTGGAAACAGACTCCCAGCTTCTTGTCAATATTATTAACAACAATGCCAGACCCCCATGGGAAATTAAAGGCATTATGGAAAAAATTGTTGACTGTGCCGGCAAAGAAATTGTACAGCAACTCATATTTTCAGAGAAGGGAATAGTGCGGCTGACCTATTAGCTAATTTGGGGGAGAGAATGAAGAACAACAGAGTTTACAATGATGTAACATCATTGTCCAACAATATTAGTGTGAGCGTTACTGTGTTAAAACAAAAATCAGAAAACAAAATTGTTAGAAGAATAAAGAAATCTAGAAAACAATAAAGAATCAGAAATATTCCGAGTCCACAATTTTCTTGTGCGTCCTTAAGGAATATTAGCCCCCTCACACGTTGCCAAGGTAATGGATTAAATCCTCCCAAGATAAAACGGAATAAACCTTCCTGCAACAGTGGCAATACAAACTGCAGGATACCAACGAACTCAAAGAACGGAGCAAAATCACACTTACGAATTTGAGAGAGAGAAACTGCGAATTAGGATGTAGTGTATTCAGAAAGAAAGAAGTTCTAGAATGTTTTTCGTTTGTAGAAAATGTAGCCTTGCCTCAGAATTTATAGGCAATTATCAGAAGAGGTGTCTGGAAAAAGTGCCTTTTCAGAAGAATACGCTGCCTGCTGGGGTTCTACCACGACCGCGGCAGAACCGCGGTCAGAGAGGCTCTCTGAATCTCCCTGTCGCGGTTCCACCGCGGTCGCGGTATAACCTCGGCCAGAGAGACCCTCTGAATCTTCAGCAGGATTCTGGCGTATTTTCAGCAGTGATTTGGCATTTAATTATTAAATAATTAAATAAATTTTGTCCAAAAAATAATCTTATCGATCGATCATTTGACAAATCCAAAATCCAAATCCAAATCCAAAGCCAAGCGAGCGATGATGACGACGGCGCGAGGGTTCATTCTCTTCAACTCCTTTTAAGAGCTTTAAGAAGTGATTCTATATATAAGCACACAAATGTGGTTGTCCCTCACCAATGAGGGACAAAGTGCAAGACAAAAGTTCACTTCTTCAAATTTTTCATTTTCCCTCCATTTTATTTCCCTCCATTTCCAATTCACACTTCTTCTACTTTAAAGCCCAATGGCTTAAAGTCCAACAATCCCCCACATGAATGGGAATGGCTGTATCAAGAAAGATCATAGATGAAAGCTATGTGATTTTGCAAGTAAGGATTAATTGCATCTGGATAAGTAGGTTTCCCTTTGAACTTTTCGTAGTGAACATATGTCGGATATACTCGGTCAATCGGTAGATTTGATATCTTTGAACCGTCGAACTTTAGTGTATACCTAGACAACCAAATATCACACAACCAACCCTTAACCGTCTTTTAGTTCTCATTGTTGTGTTCGTTTTAGCCATGAACACCACCTGGTCTCATAAGTGCGTAGAAAATTGGCCTTACAGAATTCTCCTTGAAACGGCTTACACTTCACACTTACGTAGGTGATTCCTAAACGTGTAATCCTTTAGATTGACACTATTTGATAGATACCTCATCAAACTTTGGTAATCATTAAAGAACGTGTAAAGTTCTATCCTTGTTACTGAACATTGTCTTCATCACGAGAATGGACCAAAGATTTTATTTTGACAATGTTGAACCGGTTAATCACAACTTTGTTTGAGCTTCTTGAACCTAGATCTCGGAACATCCAAGATTCTAGGTAGAGTTACCGCCTTGTTGACTTGTCCTCGGCCATAGTCCCATTCCCTTAGATGATTTCTCAACTCCCTCTCTAGTTAATCCTTTTGTAAGCGGATCCGCCACATTATCCTTTGATTTTACATAATCAATAGTGATAATTCCACTAGAAAGTAGTTGTCTAACGGTGTTATGTCTTCGTCGTATATGACGAGACTTTCCGTTGTACATAACGCTCCCTACTCGTCCTATGGCAGCCTCACTATCACAATGTATGCAAATAGGAGCCAAAGGCTTTGTCCAGAACGGAATGTCTTCTAAGAAATTTCGAAGCCATTCAGCTTCTTCACCGGCTTTATCCAAAGCTATAAACTCTGATTCCATTTTAGAACGAGCGATACACGTTTGTTTGGAATATTTCCAAGATACTGCTCCTCCACCAACAGTAAAAACATATCTACTTGTGGACTTTGTTTCTGTTGAGCCGGTTATCCAAGTTACATCACTATATCCTTCGATAACCACAGGATATGTATGTAGTGTAAAGCGTAGTCTTGGGTATACTCCAAGTATCCCAGAACTCGTTTCATTGCCACCCAGTGATGTTTGATGGGATTACTTGTGAATCGACTAAGTTTACTTATTGCACAAGCTATATCAGGTCGTGTACAGTTCATGATGTACATTAAGCTTCCCAACACACGAGCATACTCCAATTGAGACGTATTTTCACCTTTATTCTTTATAAGATGATGGTTTAAGTCAATTGGAGTTCTTGCACTTCTAAATTCCAAGTGTTTGAATTTTTCCAGCACCATTTTCACGTAATGTGACTGAGACCAAGCTAGACCTTGAGGAGTCCTCTGGATTTTAATTCCTAGAATTACATCGGCAACTCCTAAGTCTTTCATATCAAACTTACTAGCAAGCATACGTTTAGTAGCTTGAATGTCGGCAATGTCTTTGCTCATTATTAGCATATCATCAACATATAAGCAAACAATGACTATATGATTTGGAACGTTCTTAATGTAAACACATTTATCACATTCATTAATCTTAAAACCATTTGACAACATTGTTTGGTCAAATTTCGCATGCCATTGCTTGGGTGCTTGTTTTAGTCCATAAAGGGACTTGACAAGTCTACACACCTTCTTTTCTTTTCCCGGAACCACAAACCCTTCAGGTTGGTTCATGTAAATTTCTTCCTCAAGATCACCATTTAAGAATGTTGTTTTTACATCCATTTGATGGATTTGAAGACCATACAAGGCGGCTAACGCTATTAGCATCCGAATGGATGTAATTCTTGTTACCGGCGAGTATGTGTCAAAATAGTCAAGACCTTCTCGTTGTCTAAATCCTTTAACAACAAGTCTTGCCTTGTATTTGTCAATAGTACCATCGTCCTTCATTTTCTTCTTTAAAATCCATTTAGAACCCAACGTTTTGTTACTTGGAGGAAGATCAACCAATTCTCAGGTATGGTTGCTCAATATGGATTCTATTTCACTATTGACAGCTTCTTTCCAATATTGTGCTTTCAAGGAAGACATTGCTTCCTTGAAGGTATGAGGCTCATTTTCTAACAGAAAAGTCAGAAAATCTGGACCGAATGAAGTAGATATCCTTTGACGTTTACTTCTTCTTGGATTTTCTTCATTAGGCATACCATCTGTTATTTCCTCCCGAGGTCGTTTTGACTTTTGGCAGGTCACTTCACTTTCCTTTTTATACGGATAAATAGTTTCAAAGAATTCAGCATTATCTGATTCTATTATCGTATTAATGTGAATCTCAGGATTTTCTGATTTATGAACCAGAAAACGATATGCCTTGCTATTGGTTACATATCCAATAAACACACAATCAACCGTTTTTGGACCTATCTTAACCCTTTTAGGTTTAGGAACTTGTACCTTAGCTAAACACCCCCACACTTTGAAGTATTTCAAGCTAGGCTTCCTTCCTTTCCACTTTTCATAAGGAATGGACTGTGTTTTACTATGAGGTACACGGTTGATTATCCGGTTAGCTGTAAGTATAGCTTCCCCCCACAAGTTCTGTGGTAAGCCAGAACTTATTAGCAATGCATTCAT